TGGACAAAAGTGAATATTTTGATAATAGCATGTGTTTAAGTTCAAGTAATTTAATAAAGTGTATTACGTTCAAGGTCATGCGATAATAACTTCATTTTGGATATACAAACCTAATATGATAAATTCCTCACGATCAAATTCCACATCTGCGCTGTCATATATTCTCGCGTTCCTCTGCCTCTTCGACATAATTGAAACGGTAATTAGTGGCTGATTACACGTTGACCATCCGAAGAGATTTCCCGCTAATACAAGTTTCGTACATTTCTCCACTCGCGCGAAGGTCTCGAGTAATTTGTTCAGAATAAATCATACCAGGTTATAAAGTAGTAGAATTAATTAATTAATATATAACAAATGCAGAACAATAATGAAAAAGGAAACATTTTTTTACATAATTCAACGGACGCTGGCTTGAGCCGGCCGTGCGGAGAGTTGCCAAACACAGCTAGACATCGATAAAGCCAATTTCCAAACCCGTTATGTGATTTATAAAGAATAAAATATGTGAAAAATACAAATATATATTGAATGTTTTACACTTGAATTCTGATGAAAATAAAATGATAAAGAATATGGGAAATATGACCGATTAATAGGCAGAATATGTTGTGTCACATAAGCTGTGACAGCAGCACGAGGTGTACGGAAAGCTCCGTCACAGATGCTGTGGCACTCGCAGCGAAAGGGTTAATATTGGAAAGCACACATAAACATATGTGACTGTATCTCTATCCCTGTTCGCCTCTCTTTCTTTCTTATGTATATATATTTTTTTTTATTATTCATTCATTCAGTCAGGAGCTAACGCTGGCGGGGGCGCATAGCCGCATCCACCCTTCGCTTCCACCTACGAGGGTCCCTAATGGCGAGCCACCAGGGACTGGCACATCTCTAGCTCCTCACAACAGGTTTGTTCGATCTGCCCAAGCCACGACTTCCTCGGTCGTCCCGCAGGCCTCCTCCACCCAGGGTTTTTTCGAACAGAGACGGGAATTGAGCCAAGTGGCCCTATAGCCTGAATTGGCGATCACGGATTGTGCAGGTAACAGGTCCTGTACAGGTCTCACGCTGCAACCGTTGGTTGGACACATGGTCCCGCCAACTGTACCCCATGATCCGGCGCAAGGATCTGTTACAAAAGGCATCAAGACACAAAGCACAACATAGCGTCCAGGTTTCACTATCATATAGTGAAACTAGAAGAAATCAGGGCTTTGAAAACACGTAGCTTGGTCCTTTTGCACAGGTACCGGCATCTCCAAAAACTCTTTTCGGGAGATTTCATGTCCGAACACACGACGGCGCTCTACAATGACTCGAAGCGCCAGGATACGGTCTATTGTGGACTTACCAGGAGTGAATCCAGATTGCTCCAGCCTCTGGTGCCTCAGCAGGTGGTCTCTGATATATCTCAGCAGGTATACTGAGTAGTGTAATGCCTCGGTGATTGCTGCAGTCCCACCGATCCCCTTCCCCCTTTCAGAGAGGATGACCACACCCCTCAGCAGGTCATGGGGAGTGGTACCAGTCTGCCAGATGGCAGGCATGACAGCATGCAAGCCCCTTGCCAGAGGTTCTCCACCAGCCTTTAGTAGTTCAGGTGGGATGCCGCAAACACCTTCAGTCAGGGAGGGTGGATCCTCGCTGATGGGTGGGTCTGGCAGAGGAATATCAACATTACCTGCATCCAAGCTAACTGTTGGTGGATCAACCTGATACAACTGCTCAATGCACCCGCACCCCATCAGGATCTGAGATTATCTGGCCACTTGCTGAGCGGACTGCAATCGTCTGCGAAGAGGGCTTGGAGTTCAGCTCTCTCAGGGCTTAGTAGGACGAAGGTCATTTACTAGGAAATGGTTTTCGACCTCCTCTGCAAGATTCCTGATAAACTGTTCCTTATCCCTTCTCAACAGTGACTTAGTTGCAATCCCATGACAATCGAGCCGCACAACAAGCATCTGTGGCTTCCAATGTCTCCTGTGAGATGGAATTCTGTCTTCCTCATATATATATATATATATATATATATATATATATATATATATGTATATATATTTTTTTTTATTATTCATTCATTCAGTCAGGAGCTAACGCTGGCGGGGGCGCATAGCCGCATCCACCCTTCGCTTCCACCTACGAGGGTCCTTAATGGCGAGTCACCAGGAATTGGCACATCTCTAGCTCCTCACAACAGGTTTGTTCGATCTGCCCAAGCCACGACTCGTCCCGCAGGCCTCCTCCACCCAGGGTTTTTTCGAACAAAGACGGGAATTGAGCCAAGTGGCCGTATAGCCTGAATTGGCGATCGCGGATTGTGCAGGTAACAGGTCCTGTACAGGTCTCACGCTGCAACCGTTGGTTGGACACATGGTCCCGCCAACTGTACCCCATGATCCGGCGCAAGGATCTGTTACAAAAGGCATCAAGACACAAAGCACAACATAGCATCCAGGTTTCACTATCATATAGTGAAACTAGAAGAAATCAGGGCTTTGAAAACACGTAGCTTGGTCCTTTTGCACAGGTACCGGCATCTCCAAAAACTCTTTTCGGGAGATTTCATGTCCAAACACACGACGGCGCTCTACAATGACTCGAAGAGCCAGGATACGGTCTATTGTGGACTTACCAGGAGTGAATCCAGATTGCTCCAGCC